ATTTTTTTTTTAATAATTATAGTTGTATACTCATGTATTTAAGATGCAAGCAAAGTTGCAATTGATGCTTACACCACTTGACATTAATTCAAATTTTTTAAATCAGAAATGTTATAAACTATATTTTTAAGCCAATTTTTTTTTTAAATGCATGAAACATGTTTAGAAAGCTAATACAGATAACTTGGTCTATGTGTTTTTATATCGTTTTTAAAGGATCTCTCCTTTTTATAATTTTCAACATCCTTATTTGACCCATGAAATATTTTTGAAAGCTGATCTCAATGTACAGTTGCTATTGAGGCAAACAAGAAGAAATTGGTTGTCTATATATTTGACCGCGTGTTTGATAAGATTATAAATCTTGCATTTCCTGTAGCATTATTAGCGATATATCAAACTGAAGCAACTAAATTGGGTCACCCTGGGGAAAACATGTGCAGTCATTCCAGGCGTCTTGCATGTAGCATTGATCGACAGCTCCTCTGACTGCAATACTGCTGTGCCACGCGCCGTGAGCTCCCTTCCCTGCCGCAGGCGTGCTCGTGCACAAATTAATCACTCCGTGAGAACATTAAAGAGAATACATCACGAGGCAAAGGCTTTTCTTTATTTATGTGCCCATGCTGCTTTGAGATAAGACACACAAGGCAGATAAAATCCTTTTTTTTTTCTCAGGAGGTCTGAGTGACTGCACTTGAGATGCTAGATGTGTTAAGCATTTTTTGGTCCTGAGACTTTTTCAGTGGGCATTAGCTGTTGTAATGTGTACAGTAATTGCTGAATACTGTAGATCAAACAGTAGAGCGGGGCTCTGGCAATGCCAAGGTCATGGTTTCAATTACCAGGGAATGCCAGAACTGATAAAATGTATGTCTACCAATGCAATGTTAGTTGCTTTAGATAAAAAAAAAAATAATTCAGCCAAATGTGGCCAAGAGGATTGTATGCATTATCTATGTCAATTACAAGGCCAGTCTGGTTTGGACAATTGTGAGATTTCCCTGTTTGTTTTATGCCTGTTTACAAGCAATAAAATAGACCAGGAACACTGCCAAGATCCGGATATTGCACCCTATAGGCTACTGAACACTGATAAACGAGTCAAGGCATGTCGATGTAAAGTTAGAAGTAGAGTGGATTTATGTCAGGAATCAATTAATCAAATGCACTTTTTATGTGAGTGTGTGATTAGACAACATTGAACTTCTCAAAGCCTGAGGCAAGTGTTCAAGTGTGCCATTACGGAAGTACACATCTTTTACTACAAGAAACACACATGACCATACAGTACCACTTATTTGTAGATTATTTGTATCATAATTGTAAAAAATATTCACAAAATATTAATTTATTTGCTACTTAAAGATGACACGCTTTGACGTTTTGTCAAATTTGCAACAAATGTCATTTAATTTGGATGATGAAAACACACACCAAAATATTTGTAATAATGTGGCACATAATAATATTTAATTGGATATTAATTCTTTGCTTATTATTAATGTCATTTCATGACATTACTTGTATATTGATTAATAATGTGGTGAAGTGTTTGTGAAGAGCTCTGAATCAGATCTGTGCAAGTCAGCCTTATGGCATTTTCAGTGATAATTGAATCAGCTATTCAGCGCATCTGAATTAATAATAAAAAAAAATGAGTCATACATCTGAATGAACTGCAGGCTTTACCCAACACAGAATGGACATTCCTCAGACAATCTTTGTTTATTGTTCCATGTGTGTGGGAGCATGAGCTTGAGAGACAAAGACAACGAGTTGTTATCCTGTTGTCATCTGGCAGATGTTTGTGCTGGTTTCCAAAGCACCTGATATTTTCATGTCCTTGGCAGGCAAGATGCTGCTTTTTACAGAGTATGTCTTGGGAATAAGTTGTCATGGCAATGCTTTCAGAGCTCTAATGAAACAGATGAAAGCTGGTCTTCCTCATGAGATGTCAGAAAACGCGGCAAACTTCTCTGGAGGCTTTCGGATGATGATTTGTCTGTGTACATGTTTGCCCCTGTGTCAGTTAGTTTATTTTGTAAATTCATCATTTAATATGAAGTTTTGTTTATGCAGTAACAAAATATAAGCCAATAAATGAATAAAACACTGGAATTAAATAGAAATCTTCAAGCATATTAGAGAAAGTGAGAGCTGTTGTGAAAGAGAGAATTGTTATGAATTTATCTAGTAGTTTGGAGGCTAATAATGTTATTCAAAAGAGGTGACCAGGTTGATTGGAACTTACCACATATTAACATGATAATCAGATAAATTATACAAACAATAAAGGCAATTTGCCTAAAATATGGCCCATACTCATGTGTCTTCCCAGTTATGCTATACGATATTCCTATAATGTCCTATTCTCCCAGGAGGCCATCTTACATGCTCCAGTGGCCCTTGCTCTGTGCAACAACAGGAAAAGTGTTGGTAATTAATGCACTGGTTGATACGTGAATGCACCTGCTTGATGAGGGTATTTGCATGTCTCCCAGACTTCTTCTTCCTCTCAGGCTCTACCAATGGAAGCCCCACCAATGTGGGATAGAGAATGGTAGCTGCTAGGGATCTTGTCACACACTTGTCTTGTGAGAAACAAAGCAATTCTCACTTTTCCCCATATATATCTCTGGTTAATAACAACTTTTTTAAACAAAGAAAAAATAAACTGTTAAATAAGGGGACATGAGCTTTTTTGTTCATTTTTTGTGGACTTGGATTTTGAGAGTATAATATAAGTAACAATGAGAGTATAATATAAGGAACAATGTATTCATTTAGCAGATACATTTATTCAAAAGTCACTTAAAGGTAAAATACAAAACAAGTGATTAATTATTAACAATGCTGCAATCCAACATTTTGAAATGTGATTAGATGAAAAAAGCTAGTTCAGCGCTTTGCTTGTCTATTACAGTATGTAACATTTGCTTTAGTAAAAGAGGAATTCATTCAGGTCATTGGGGTTGTAAAAATACAGATCCAGTTAAAAGCTTATAGTGGGATGTGAAAGTATCAATGACACCCACAGCGTGTTTACAATAAACAGCAGGATTTGATTTCAGATTGTACAGAATGAAAAATACTACGGAAATAACAGGAATCTGTGCATATGGGGATTAATAAAAAACAATAAAACAGAAGTAAAAAAATATTTTTTCTTCCATATTGTGACAAACATCCAAGTATAATGGATTTTCGAATAAGAAAAAAAATGTAGGGTAAGTGAGTACTTGGTTCTATACATCGGTTGTTGATTGGATATGGAAATTTCTGGAGTGAAAGGTGGACTAAATGATTGGAGAAGTCCGGCATATAGTGGGTATAGAAAAGAATCACCCCCCTTTAAAATAATCACATTTTGTTGCTTTTCAGCCTGAAATGAAGATGGACACAGTTTTTGTTTTATCCAGCTGTATTTACTATAACACCAACATGTCAGAAAAAAATGATCACTGAGAAGTTCACCAGAATCACTGAGTTGGAAAAAGAATGACTTGTAAACTTAATCCGGTGTAGCTAATCACCTTATCAATGGCACACAAAGCCTTTTGACTTTCAACTGTGATCAGCTGTGGTCATTTTGATTAGCTCAGCATGAAAAGAGCTTCATGTAGCATTTCAGTCCTTAGTAGTGCAACTGAAGCAAACAATCAACTATGGGTGGCAAGACACTGTCAAAAGGTCTCCGGCAAAAAGTTGTGGACATGCACAAGTCGAGATAGATTCGAAAATTTTCAAAGGCTTTATCAATACCTAGAAGCACAGTGAAGTCTGCTATTAAGAAGTGGAAGGTATTTGGTACAACACAGACTCTCCCTGGATCAGGACGTCGCTCCAAACTGGATGAAAGAGCTAGGTGGAAACTGGTCAGAGAGGCTACCAAGAGACATACAGCAACTCTGAAACAGCTGCAGGAATTTATGACAAAGAGTGGTCGTTGTTTGCATGTGACAACAATATCACAAATTCTCCACAAATGTGGCTTGTATGGGAGGGTTGCAAGAAAAAAGCCACTCCTCAAGAAGAGCCCCATGCAGTCACGACTGAGCTTTGCCAAAATGCACCTTGAAGATTTTGAGGCCACATGAGAATAAAATTGAATTATTTGGTCTCAACACC